AATTTTGTTTTTTTCCTCTCAGTGTAACTTAATGTACATATGGACCTCAAACTCGGTTAAAAAGAGGTTTATATCAGGGAGTTAATTCTTTTCTTAACCCCTACTCACGTAGATGATTTGTCTTCTTTTTTTGCGACCTTATATTCATACTTTGTTTTAATGGTCAGTTTTTCCTTTCTTTTCTGAGAAGGTAACACACTTTTCTTTGCCAACTTTTAGTGGTTGAGCCTCACAAGCCAGCATGGAAGGCTATTGTAAAGAACTTTGGAAGAGATATTTTACTGAACAATGAGGAGATTGATAGGGTGAAGCTTGGAAAAATTGTATTTGAAGATGATGCCAAAAGACGTGTTCTGAACAAGTGCACACATCCTTTTATACATCGTTCCATTTTGTGGTCCTTGCTAAGGAATTTTTTGTCAGGTCTGTATATTTGTTTTACATCTGGTAAGGTTGTCAGTTAAGTAGGTACCTTTTTAGATCTGTTTTTTTTTAAAGTGAAATTATTATTATTAGCGCACCAACACTGAAAATGACTTGCGCCATCACTAAAGGTTTCTTTATTATATATAAGTTTAAAATTTTAAATTGTTGCTTGAAGTACATGTACCTGTAGTCAGTACACTGTTGGAAAACTAGTATTGGAATAGATCATTCTATACTTAAATCAGTTGATGACTGAATCAGTCATCAATTGATTTAAGTATAGAATGATCATGAATATGGAGCCTTGAAGTCACTTCCAAAAAAGCCATTACTGTACAAGTTTTTACAGTACTATGTTTTCCTAAATAGATCTCTCTACAAACTGCAAGCATTTTGCGATTATCAGAAAACTTTGTTAGTTGAGTGAATGATATTTTTGGCTGTTACGGTTAATTTGTAGGACTGACATCGAGGGTTTTGGATTTGAATCTTGGCAGGTGCTTCTGACTCATAACCTCTGATATTTCCCAAACAGTGAAGGGGTGCAGCTGCAACACTCCTGATTGCTTCACCACCCTACACAAACTGAGACAGACTGCTTGTACATGTAAGGCAAAGTGTGACACTTGGCCTGTGAATGGACCCTTCATTTACAATGAATATATGAACTTCATATATTTTGAACTGCGGTATTAGATAAGTATGATGCACGATCCTCCCAGTAGAGAGCTCAATTGGTAGAATGCTGCTCTAGTATCGTAGAGGTCAGTGGTTTGAATCCTGTACAGGCCTGATTTTTTTTCAGGTCTGATTTTCGCTATTGCAAAAATAGCACACTCTACTTCAAGGATCGGGCATCATATGGACCCGTCATTGTTGAGTACTGTTAGATGAACAGATCTTTTAAAAGTTAGAGCTTCATAAGTCTTGTTAATCACTGGTCAGAATTCTTTTAAGGCTTCTTCCATTCTAATTGAAGAATACACGGATGTCAAGATTTGTTACCCCTGCCTCCTGTATTGTTTGACTTGACATTAGAGAATTCCCCTTGAGCAATCTTTTTTGTTCACTCATTGCCTAGTTCAACACTGCCTACAATGTAGGCTCAATTTAACTCATCCAGTATGGCTTAAATGTAAGTTACCACCTCATCTCGTTTCTTATGTGAAACATCTTGTTTCTCTTGGGAAGCATCTTGTTTCTCTTGAGAAGCATCTTGTTTCTCTTGAGAGGCATCTTGTTTCTCTTGAGAAGCATCTTGTTTTTCTTGAGAAGCATCTTGTTTCTCTTGAGAAGCATCTAGTTTCTCTTGAGATGCATCTCTTTTTCTCAATATGCATTTCGTTTCTCGCAATACGCTTCTCGTTTCTCTCAACTGAGAATCACAGGAATGTTTAGCATGGATTATAATTATTAGTCCCAATAAATTGGGGTGCATATCAAAGATAACTGCTATTATGCTACAGGTAGCATGTGATATATATCTCATGTCAAATGTGAGATGCTGTGGGTATTGATCTCACTCTCTTCATGTCGAACAAACAAGTTGATCTTTTGTAAGTATGTATAATGCATATTTATATTGGTAAAATGACCAAACACCGTGTCGATTCGTGTACATTTTCTGCCCCTGCGTGGAAGATCATAAATTTCAAGGAAGTATGGAGAACTCTCTGAGTAAGATATCAATCATCTCAATCCCCTACTGATATTGTCGAGTATTGCTGAACATTTCAAAGAAGCCCTTTATTTTTAATTAATATCTGCGTTGTTAAATAGCCATTGACTCCCAACATATCTGTTTGATTACGCATGAAGAAGCATTGTGTATTATTCACTTGTTGCACTCGTCTTCTGGGTATAAGCCGTGGATGGTTTTCGAGTTCTTTTCAAACATGATCGGCCGTCGATCGATCACTGAGTTTTAAAAGGGTTTACGATCGGCCGTCGATCGGTCAACGGACTTTGTTTGACTTGTTGCCATGCGTGTGGACGAGTGAATAATGATAACGCTTTTCCACGGGTAATCAAACAGATATCTTGGGAGCCAGTCGCTATTTATTAACTACTGAACGTTAAATAAAAATGTTTTACAGTAGGTTTATACTGACTCTACTGGGTAAAAGCCTTNAATTGTTTTGCCTTGTAATTTCCCTCTCCAAGGTCAAAGATATTCATGTCTCTGCATTGAAATTTTAGAATTTTTCTTAGTCATTACCACCCATTTTTCTTCCCTCTAGTGACAAGGATGCTCAATTGAAGCGTTTGATGAAAAGAAATAACTTCACAAGAAGTGATGCTGAACAGAGAATAAATACTCAGATGACGCTGGATGAAAAATGTCGCAGAGCGTCGTATATTATTGACAATTCATCCAATGAGGAGAATACTGAGACACAAGTGAAAAGACTCCATGAAAAATTGAACAGATCATATGCATATTTACCTCTCCGTGTATTTGCATTTTCACTACTTGGTTTGAACTTGTCTTTGGTTGTGTTTTTGGCTAAGTTACTGGTTAGCTGATAAAAATTGTTTTTTTTTAGACCAAGGTGCTCCTCTTCAACTAGACAATTTTATTAGATTAAAAGTTTCTCTGTTTTTGAATTTCATCTACACGTCGTTCCACTACTGCTCACAAACGCGAAAGTGGAACGAGATCGCCTAAAACGCCTTCATGGGAGGCTAAAAAATAGCTGCTAAAAAAGGTTTGTAAATGACAATCTTATGTGCGCACGTGCCAGGCATAGCACACGCACGTGCCCTAGGCTGTTCATTACGAACCCTTGGTGATATCTGGACGTTCTGAGCCTTGCCCTGTCCTGTAAAAGTGACCTTTGATTTCTTGGTGACCAACCAATTTACACCTCTATCAGTGAGAAATTCATCCGGATGAACTGGTCAGCCTCGAACGCTCTGACTTCGAGGAGAAGCAAGAAAACTGCGAGGAAGAAGACAAAGATGAAGGTGGGATATTTAGGTACGATTCCCCGAGGGGGGGGGGGAAGGCTTTAGCCTCTCCCCTTTTTTGAAACAAAAAAATGTCGTGCTAGGCATGCCCCCATTCGTTCGCCAATCACTCAAAAATTTGCTGTGTGGGACCCGAGGAAGTTTTTACCGTGTCAAGCGTGCGTTGTTCGTGAAAAACTTTGAAAACTTCCAGAATGAACGGTGTCATCGTTTTGGTGAAAAGGGGAGATAAACTAATGTCTTACTGTGAGTAAAGACTTCAACAGATCAATCCTGCTCGGGGAAAGTATCACCCACCGAAAAAGCCTTTTTAGGTTGAGGTAATGGACTAAAAAAAAATTATGATCGGGATCGGGATTACTTGCAATAAAAAATACACAAGTTTAGAGCTATTCAAATTACAGCTAGAAGCTGTTCGAGTTTTTTCGTTTGCATGTTTTACTTTGTCCATCGTCCGTTCGCTTATCTCCATATCCTGTACCGGGAGCCATTACTTAGACCGTTCAACTGCTCTTGTTTCAATCAAGGTGTTTTCACAGACAAGCCAAATTTTAGCTCGACTTACTGCGAAATGGTATTCTCACGAAAGCCCTTCGACCAATCACGATTAGCGCTTACTTCAGTTATAACTTGACTCGCGACTACGTGAGCTCGAGTTGCTATTTCCCGGGAAAAGATTTAAACTGTTCTGTGCGGAAAACATAGGCTCAGTATGGGAGTTGAACGCTCGGAGTAATGCAATCCTGCTTGTACCCAGTACCCCTCTTTGTTCCCAGCTTATTTTTCCGGTTCTCGTTCATATCCCACAGTTTCAGTTTCTCAGCTCATTCTCTCATTTCCAATTTTTTCGTTTCGTTTTCGGCGCAGTCAACTCGCTTCTCTCAAAGACCATTCATTGTGTCGATTTTTTAAACACCATGACCAATTAGGAGCTTAGAATTGCGTCGAAGGAGGTTGAAAGCCCAAATTTGGGTAAATTTTTCGCTCACGTGCGTTTCTCCAAGACGAGTACTATTTTTAGCAAATTTTGTCTGATCCAAGGGAAACTGGCTCTAGAGTATAAATACCTACAGTCACGAGTTTCTCACATGCCTCTCATCTGAAGTAGTATANTTGGTGATATCTGGACGTTCTGAGCCTTGCCCTGTCCTGTAAAAGTGACCTTTGATTTCTTGGTGACCAACCAATATACACCTCTATCAGTGAGAAATTCATCCGGATGAACTGGTCAGCCTCGAACGCTCTGACTTCGAGGAGAAGCAAGAAAACTGCGAGGAAGAAGACAAAGATGAAGGTGGGATATTTAGGTACGATTCCCCGAGGGGGGGGGGGAAGGCTTTAGCCTCTCCCCTTTTTTGAAACAAAAAAATGTCGTGCTAGGCATGCCCCCATTCGTTCGCCAATCACTCAAAAATTTGCTGTGTAGGACCCGAGGAAGTTTTTACCGTGTCAAGCGTGCGTTGTTCGTGAAAAACTTTGAAAACTTCCAGAATGAACGGTGTCATCGTTTTGGTGAAAAGGGGAGATAAACTAATGTCTTACTGTGAGTAAAGACTTCAACAGATCAATCCTGCTCGGGGAAAGTATCACCCACCGAAAAAGCCTTTTTAGGTTGAGGTAATGGACTAAAAAAAAATTATGATCGGGATCGGGATTACTTGCAATAAAAAATACACAAGTTTAGAGCTATTCAAATTACAGCTAGAAGCTGTTCGAGTTTTTTCGTTTGCATGTTTTACTTTGTCCATCGTCCGTTCGCTTATCTCCATATCCTGTACCGGGAGCCATTACTTAGACCGTTCAACTGCTCTTGTTTCAATCAAGGTGTTTTCACAGACAAGCCAAATTTTAGCTCGACTTACTGCGAAATGGTATTCTCACGAAAGCCCTTCGACCAATCACGATTAGCGCTTACTTCAGTTATAACTTGACTCGCGACTACGTGAGCTCGAGCAGCTATTCAATAGCTGCTCGAGCTCACGTAGTCGCGAGTCAAGTTATAACTGAAGTAAGCGCTAATCGTGATTGGTCGAAGGGCTTTCGTGAGAATACCATTTCGCAGTAAGTCGAGCTAAAATTTGGCTCGGAAAACATAGGCTCAGTATGGGAGTTGAACGCTCGGAGTAATGCAATCCTGCTTGTACCCAGTACCCTTCTTTGTTCCCAGCGGACTCTTCCGGTTCTCGTTCATATCCCACAGTTTCAGTTTCTCAGCTCATTCTCTCATTTCCAATTTTTTCGTTTCGTTTTCGGCGCAGTCAACTCGCTTCTCTCAAAGACCATTCATTGTGTCGATTTTTTAAACACCATGACCAACTAGGAGCTTAGAATTGCGTCGAAGGAGGTTGAAAGCCCAAATTTGGGTAAATTTTTCGCTCACGTGCGTTTCTCCAAGACGAGTACTATTTTTAGCAAATTTTGTCTGATCCAAGGGAAACTGGCTCTAGAGTATAAATACCTACAGTCACGAGTTTCTCACATGCCTCTCATCTGAAGTAGTATAACCTTTCTTAGAATGCCATCTGTCATTTGCAGCAAGTAAGCGTGCAACGGGATCTTCTGTACTTGCTAGTTGAAGCCTCAGAAAGGTAGGTGGCTTCAACTTAACTGCATTTTCCAAATACCCTCACATCTGGTAGTTTATTTGGCTAACAGAGTTTAAGTTAACCATAGATCGTTATAAGTTAACTTAAGATTTCACCTGATCCTCGGAAATACGCCTTCTGTACATGTCTAATATAAATAGTTAGATTCTTTCCGATCCAAACTTGGGTCTATAGTTATAACTGAAGTAATACTCAGTTATCGAATTCTGCACGTTGTAGGGGGATATATTTTGACAATTATTCGCAATTTCGTCGAAATTCTACGGTTTAATTAACTGCAGTTCGTGCACGAAACTTCCTCAAGGAGTTCACGACTAAGTCTTCTGTAAAGAAGCGGAAATCTTTCACTTTCTTTAATTTCAAAGTCTTTTCATAGGTATTTGGCAAAAATGGAGGCTTTTCTACTAAGAAAAAATTAAAGAAAAGAAGCTGCATATAATTTGTCGAGTAGATGAGCTTATGAACGAGGTCGAGAATCTGAAGAAACCATGCTTTACTTCCTCTTGGCTGGGACTGAAATTGTCAAGAACGTTTCTCGTTATAGATTCAAGTCCTTAAACATGAAGAGCATTTTTAAACTGCTTTAAAAATAGAGAATTATGCGGTGAATTACTTTTAAGTTATGACTGAGACCGTCTCGCGTGTCGATCGAAATGCCCGCTATGAGTTTGAGACATGATCCTAAGCGGAAATGCACATGGTAGACGATTTCGCATCATTACTATGTATAATTCCTTAAGAAAAAACTTTTTTAGAAGGTCTTGGGAAAAGTTTGGACACTGCTGAACTTACAGCTACATGTATGCTAAATTTATATCTTCTGATCACAAACGAGTGTGGAACTACATTCTGTTAATTTTAGATGATACTATTTTCCTGCATCTTCATTCCACAGTCAAGGGTCAATGGGGAAAGAAGAAATTTTTTCAAGCCATCGCTCATCATAAATTTTTCAACTTGAACTGAAACATGCGATTCGTGGCCCCAAAAACCCCTTTTTTTATTTAATTTTTTTTTTTTTTTATGAACATTGATTCCCAGAGTGCTGTTTGCCATCATGAAATTGTAACAATAATTAATTAATAACATTTATTATTACATGACTTGGGAACAGAGGGCCAATAACTAAAATCAACCAATCAAAATGCTCTATTGCCGGTCAATATTCTCTCAGTACTGGACCGGGCACTGTCCCGAATGATACCGCACTTGTGTCCCTGTGAACTTCAGTCGTGTAATAAATCTGTTATTAACCAAGCTTGCTCAGTCTGTACAAAAACGACCTCAGGCCAATATTCTCCCAGTACGGCCCTCGCGCTTGGTTAATAAGATATATATTAACTATTGTTAGTATCTCACCATCTTTCTGTTGTGGTGCAAAAGCATTTTGCAGTTATCTTTAAGTTTTTGGATACTCAAGGATCATAGCAATATTTTCATTACAGCTTAGCAAACAATTATGTTTTTGGACGCCATATGTTTTTATCAACTTTTGAAGTCAAACATTTTCATATTTTGTGGGGTGATTTACCCTATGCTAGTCTCTGCTCTTTAGGGTAGGGAGTTACTTTTTTCCTTGACCTTTGTGGCATAGGCAAAGCTATTTATTTTCAAGGCCCCAAAACAAGGTGCTTCTCCTCTTCTTTAACCCCACTTTCTTTCTGTTCCTCTCCTTACCGTATTTGCACTCCTTTTGAGTTTTAATAGAGCTGTGTTACTCATCTCAAGTACCCAGCTGCTTGCTGTTTGTCTTCAGCTCTTCTCCTTCGTGTTTACTCTGATCAACCAGTTGATCGCCTTCCCTAAACTTCCTACTCCAATTACCGGCACCATAACTTAAAGACTTCCTGTCATGTGAAGGGTCATGTCGGCAAGGCAGAAAAAGGCCTACTGTAAGTAAGATAATCATTATGATTAAAGGTAAACCACAAAATGTTCCTAATCTAACACTCTTTTCTTGAATACACAGATGAAGTGGTACATCACTGCAGTGTTCACACTGCTTTGTAGCCAGGTGACCTTTTGTAATGCTGATGAGCTAAAAGAAAACACAGTTCTTTCAGCCTTTACATCGGTAAGTTTTATCATGATATCTTTTTTTAGATTTAATGACACTGCTAAGGAATACATAATTGTGTAAATGCTCTGAATTATTACAAAAAGGATCCTGACTTATTCAATGTATGAATTTAATCAACTTTCTCAACTCTTTTAACTGCAAGGAGTGCCCAATTAGTAATTTCTCTTTACAATATTAATACATCATCCTGAAGAAAGCTTTTGAGAGGACATATATTAAACATATTGTTAGTCTTGAATTAATACCAAATTCTCAGAGCAAAGGCTATTAGAAATGTCCGTCAGATAGGAAAGGGAATTGATCGGAAGACATAGAAAGCATTTCACGGTTCACTAAAGTACTGTTCATGCACCCTCAAACTGCAGATTTAGATTTAATAAAACTTTGAGCAGTTAACCATTAACTCCAAGTAGTGATTAACCTGTAACTTCTCCCTATAATATCCATACATGATCCAGCAAACGGGTAATGAGAATACTCAAAGTTATCTGGTAGAAGTTGTTACCTTGATTGAACACCAAATTCTTGTAACCAATTTACAAGGAAATGTGTAGCAGCTAGAGGGGAGAATTTCATCATCAGATCTTGGGAATTAAAGGGTTTATTATGCTAGCACTGTACCCTTTTAATGAATGTTAAAATGGCTTGTATGGTAATAACATTTGCTGGTAAGGGTTGATTGGCACTTCTCTTCTTGTTTAATTTATGATTACTGTTTTTGAGACTGTAGGTTGTCTAACATGTATTCATGGTTGTCATGACTCCTTGTGCAGTTGTTGTTATTGTCTCTGTTGTCCTTTTTCATCTGGTTCTCCAAGCCGAACTTTTTTCAAGTTTCCATTTTGGTAACCTAAAATCATCATTTTAACAGTAGTGGCTAAAAAACATGGGTTGTACAGTTAAGCAGATGGACACAAAGCATTTGTACATTAAGTTAACAGGACCACACCAGTGAACAAACACATGCAGCTGAAAGAAACTCAAGACATTCAACAGAAATTTGGTGCAGCATATATGCCATCAGTTTTACTACAAATACAATGCCCTTTGAAATTCACAGTAATCATCCCACAATGGAGAAAACAATCAGCTAGCTTATACATACTAATATTACAAACTTTTTAAGGTATCTAAGAATAGATGTGTATGCTCATTTGTCAAGAGTATTGTGAACATGTTATTCTGGTTTTATCATCTGAGTTTATAAATGCATGTAAATTGACCACTGTAAAGAGTTTCAAAGCTTTGCAGGTGTAATGTGGTCATTTTGGTCCCACATTTTTGAGCTGCACTGTAACATTTGACAAAAAAGTTTTGTGTAGTAACATTTGATAAAAATCTCACTTTGTCTTTAGACACTAATAAATGAGTAAGTTATATAAAGGCTGTGCTTTATGGAAAACTGAATGGACCCCAGTGTTCTGAAACTGTGAAATCCACGGTGCCCAGCATATGCTTTGTATTTATTAAAAAACTAAAATTCCTGAGTCGCCCAAGAGCAAAAGTAAGGCGCCAGAGGCCGCTGGGCACTGCTAGACCCCTGCCTTGTATATAAGCATTAAAAATGACTACATGACCACCAAACTCGGGATGATAATGGGACTTAATTTACCATTCACTGTCAATTTAGTTGCCAATTTCTTTGTCTAAATGTAGTTGTGATGGCACTGCCACTGTCAAAAAATGACTGGTGCAGGAATAATTTAGAAAAGCCTTTTTGTTTTAGAGTCTACTTGTGTGGCCACTGGTAATTAAATTTGTGTAATCAGTGCAATAGTCCATTTCACAGTGGAGTGCTTGGTCACCAGGCCTTTTAACAGGAGTGAGGCTACGTAAGGATGACCTTGTGATGATAGAAACATTGCTGTTTTTCAAATGTAAATTACTTTCATTTGTTATCATGCTAACTAGATACTGGTCTCTATCACAACAGTGTCACCTTCAGCCTCAATTCAAATCAAAGGCTTGGCAACTAAGTACACAACTGTAAAATGGCCCATTGCATGACAGTGCCTCATTTTCCCAATGGAACTGCAAATGTTTTTTGAGAAGCACTTGCTTCATGCATGTATTTCAATGAAGATAATATATTGATCCATGTGCCAGTTGCTAGTACTGTAAATTATCAATTATATCTCAGTCATGGGATCTGACCAGAAAATGGAAAACTGATAACTGTGTTGCCAGCTCCTATGTACTTTAATTTATTTAAAAGTGTGAGTACAGTGATCTTTCTGTTTTGGCACAATTATAGCATTTTGGAGTTATCTTTAAGTTTGTTAATAACTGTTTTCTTGCAGGCATGTTTATACTGTACAAATTTTTAATTATTATGAGTGGTTTGTATGTTAGCAATGAACTTTAGAAATCATTCCATTAAATTTTTCATCAACAGAATGAAATTGATGTGTTAGATGCAGTTGTATGTCCTGGTGGTGTCAGACAGTGTCCTTCTGGCCACTCCTGTTGTTCGGTTCCAGGCAATGATGAGGTTCACTGCTGCCCTGTTGGTTACTCTTGTGAAAGTGGTGTGTGTCAAGAAACCAGGAAAGACAACATTGCTGCTCTGTTTCCTTCTGTGGGGGCCAAAATTGTAAAGTGCGACAACCAGTATGCTTGCCCAGACAGGTATAGATTGATATACTGTGCTTAGGGTGGGAAAGGGTTAAAGTATGATATCAGTGTATTAGTGTTCTTGTTACAATAAGTACATACCACACAAGAGAATAGTGTTTTTTGTGTGCACTGATTGGCTAGTTCAGAATTCTATGGTAAGTACTATTCACCTTGGAGCAGCCAATAAGACAAAATTGTTTGCAAGGGTTTCATTTCTGACCATAAGCTAATTTTATTTATTTATTTGTTTATTTTTTTGGGGAAGGGGGGGGGTTTCTGTGTTGTATATACTAAAAAAAATTATTCACCTCCACTTTGATGAAAAATTGTCAACTATTAGTATTATCATATGCAATATACAGGCTCTGGATGCCTATATTTCTAACTCTTTAGAGGCTGTAGATTGTGTAGCCTGCTTGGTTACCACCTGATAACATGGTTATTGCCATTATTATTGTTATTTTTATTATTTTTAGAAGTATCATTATTTTTATGATCTTAATACTCTGTCTCACTTGCATCATTATTGTTGTTAATGGTAATACGTATGTCAGTGCAGCCCATGATATAGATATGTAAAGATAGATAGACAGATAGACAGACAGACAGACAGACAACTTGCACAATGGAGAATGGGCTTCCATTTTCATCAACTTTATTCAAGAGCCAATGCATTGTGGCCTTTGCCCTTCTCAATGGCCTTAACATGCAATTGGTTGATTTTGTGACAATTATATAATTTATATTTAACAATTATTTGCCAAAGGCAAAGTGGATATTGATGAATATTCCCCTACACTAAAATTTTGACAAACATTTATTCATCTCATTGACCTCCATTACCTCAAAGTCAGTGGTAAATTCGGTTTGTTGTTGAAACCATTCTGTTAAGTAAATAAAGTGTTGCGAAAATTTAATGTAGTTGTTTTGATTTATTCATGCATTTTGACATAAGCAAAATTTTGATGGGAATTTAAATGGTTTCTTTGTTACATTTAGCACAATAATTTATTTTCACACCTTACCTTTCAAGAGTGTCATTCCCAACTTTGGGGCATGTTTGGTATTCCTTTGAATGGCATTTTCTTTCATTAAATTAATTTCCTCTTCAGACACATCGACAAAGTGCGAGGTGGCCATTTTGAAACTATAATCACCTCGCTGGAGGAATAGCGGAATATGATGTCATTCTCGGCCAATAAGAGTGCGAGAATTTCTATAATCATCTGAGTAATTATACTAAATATATATATATTTATGGGTGTATTATATACAGGAAGTCTGCATTTCAATTTTTCCATGTTACAGTGCTGACAATACATAAAAGTAGAGTGAAAAAAATGTTGAGTTAGAAAAATACAAAGACTATGCTTTCATCCCTACAAGCCTGTTTTGTCATTGCACAC